GTTCTCCCCAAGTTCACAGCAGTCTGGAAAGGTGTTCTCCAGAGTGTGTAGTTAGTGTTGCACAGAGGAGAAGCACCAACATTGTTTCAAAGATGTAACAGTCAGCCAGTCACGTTCTGACTCCAGGCTGAGCGGCAGAGTGACCTCAGAGAGACTCTTCCGACCTCAGCTTCTTGGAAGAATGTCTAAGGCGTGTGAGGACTCAGGGGCTAGATCCACTTGGCTCCACATTCTGGCCTGATGACTAGTGAGGAAGCTTGTGAAAGTCATCTAATCTTCCACAACCTGACTTCCAAAAATGTGCACAAGTACCTTGGCCCTCACTTAGGCTCCAGCGAAAATTCTAGATGCACAATAAGAGCTTGTAATGTGGGAGTTGCTATTATTTCTAATGCTGCTAATTATATGCTCATAATTATCCATTATAAGTGTTTGACAGTTGGGGTTCAGATGATATAATGTACGTTACTCCCTTTCATCTTATATATTAGAATTTTTTCTCATCTTTGGATAATTCCATATGTAATTCACCACTTAAACCAGAAACAATTCTTTTCTTTTTAAAAAAGTTTCCCCCATATAACATTTTATTGATTCTCTGGGAGTTTCGTATCAGGCACCCCATCACAGTCCCTTCCCAGTCCTTTATGTCTACCCACCCCTCTTAGTACCTTCCCCCCAAAAGAAGTAAAAGGTTAAAATAAAAAGCCACTTTATATCATCTGTGTAGTCACTGGAGCATGGTCAAACTCTCACCGAGGCCTTCCACGTTTCTACTTCCCAGCTGTGAGTCCGCAGTTATACATCACAGCAGAAGTAGCCCCCTTGCTCTTCACCGTCAGCAGGGGCAGGGATCATGGACCTCCACTCAGTTTCTGGCAAAGCAGGACCACAGACCCAGATAAGGCCCCCGGAGGCTGCCTGGATCACGGACATCAATATGGCCCCCTGGTGGTAGCATGACCTATGGACATTGACCTGGCTTCAGGCTGCCGCACAGACCATGGGACATTCACATGGCCTTTGGTGGTAACTTGAACTGCAGACATGGACATAGACCCTGGCTATAGTAGAACCACAGACCCAGACATGGCAGCTGGACATCACCCTGGCCCCCCGTGGCAGCACAGCCTACAGACATCCATGTGTCTAACCCAGACCATAGATATTAACGCACACTCCAGCTATAGCAGGGCTATGGACCCAGATGTGGCTCTCAGTGACAGTGAGGACCTACCTGGACTTCACCATGGTCTTAGCTGGCAGCTCAGGCCTCCCATATTAACATGGCCTCTGGTGGTAGCCTGCCTCAGAATGGCCCCAGGCTGCAGTACAGACACAGTCATCTACTTGACTCTCAGTGGAAACAGATATCATCCTGGTCTCCAGCAGAGTGTGGCCAGGTGGGGCTTCAGTGGTCATATTACTGACTGTCTCACCCTGCCTTGAGACTCAATTCTTGCTTACTTGTTTGAAACATGGCTTCTCTGTGTAGTCCTAGCTGTCCTAAAATTTACTCTGTAGACTAGACTGGCCTTGAACTCGTAGAGAAGATCCACCTGTTTCTGCCTCTGCCTCTTGAGTGCTGGGATTAAAAGCGTGTGCCGCCACCACTACCTGACTGTTGTTTGTTTTTTACTTTTTAAAGACAAGATCCCATGCTGAGTTTGCATGGCCACGGCAGCTCCTGTCCTTTCCATCTGTGTTGGACCCTACCCCTCCCCCCCTTTACTCTTAAAACAAACAAACAAACAAACAAAAACCCCCCTAAAACAAGCAAAGACAAGGTCCCATGTGTCTAGCCCTGGTTAGCCTGGAGTTCAATGTATAGTGAACTTGAACTTCTGATGCTCCTGCCCCCACCTCCTGAGTGCTAGGATTAAACGAGGGTGCCAACATACCCAACTTCAAATGGAAACTCTAAGCAGTGTCGTATGAACTTTCCAGTGCTGCTAAACTGGAAAACGCCGTTTATAGCCATTCCTCTCTGGATGCTCCGTGCCGGATTAGCCGCTGACGTCTGACATATCCTGCTTGTTTAACTGCATTTGACAACCAGTTGCTGACAGCTGTTGGTTGGCGGTAGGGCACTCCAGCCTCTTGCCAAACACCTGGCCTTGCTTTAGGCTTCCCATAGTCTTCTCAGGTAAACTTTGCATGAACTGGTTTCCTACCTTTTTAGAAGAGGCCAGCCGTGCCCGAACATGACAGCGTCTTCACTTTAGATTGGTGCTGAGTAATATCAGTTTTCATTTCACATTGGGGAAATGTGCCGTTTGATATTGGACTATGTTCTTTTTTTTTTTTTTTTTTTTTTTTTGGTTTTTTACGAACCAGGGTTTCTCTGTATTGTTTTGGAGGCCATCGGTCCAGCCCAGCCTTGAACTCACAGAGATCCGCCTGCCTCTGCCTCCCGAGTGCTGGGATTAAAGGCGTGCACCACCACCGCCCGGCTGATATTGGACTATGTTCTTAATAATTGTGCTTATGTTATATATCATTTAAATACACATTTCCTGATTTATGAGTCTTTTTTTAAAATCATAGCCTACTACCTCCTGTTTTATATTTTATACTATGGAAATGATGTTAGGCCAGAAACAAATTAGAGCATTATTTTTAAAATTAGAGTTTAGGAGGCTGGAGATACGGCTCTTTGTAGAGAGACAACTGGAGTTGATTCCCAGCACTCACATAACGACTCCTAATCATCCTAACTCTACTTCCAGGGAAGCTGATGCCCTCTTCCGGCCTCCAAGGGTACTAGATACTCACATGCCACAGATAACATACTTGCCAGCAAAAGTCATGTGCATAAAATTAAATAAATATCTAACAATTGGCATTTACATTGTTTAGAAAGCAGCTGAGACCGTGTGTTTGACTGTGGAACTAGTAGCTAAAGGACATCGTGGTGGGAACTGAAGAGGGTTTGCAAAGGCGACAAGAGCCTTGATATGAGGAGCACACTGGAGGCCAGCAATGGTTGACAGTGCCCAGCTGAGAGTATCATGGAAGCCAGTTCTCTTACTACTGCACAAGAAGTTGCTGAATAACTGTGGACCATTCCCTAGGCTGTGGGGCATTCGGAGCAAATTGGAAAGGTGAAAAGTCACCTTGACCTACTATCCTCTTTATTCTGTGCAACAACTATCCGTTACTTTTCTGGATTGAGACTTGTGGTGAAAGGCGGCTGTTATATAAAAACTGGCAAAAACTGGCTAGCTCAGTGGTTGGACTGAGAAGGTACTCAAAGCACTTTATAAGGACAGATGGGTGCACATGTGTGCACACACACACACACACACACACACACACACACACACACACACTCAGTGAAACCATTGTCTGAGAAGTTGCTCAGTAAATCCTTGGGATGAATAGGAAGCAGCAACATATGCAGCCAGCTTTGTTCAACAGAAAGGGCCTGGTTCTTTGGACAACACCCAGTCACACACAACACAGCTAAGGCTTCGAGAGATGAATGAACTAGGCTCTGGTTTTGTCTCATCCACCATGTTCATTGGACGTGTCAAGAATGGACTACCCTTCTTCCAGCCTTTTGACAACTTTTTGCAGAGAACCAGCAGAATGTAGAAAAAGCCCTCATAAGTCCAGTGACTTCCAAGACAGGATTTTCGTGATAGAAGAAAAAACCTAACATCTTGTTGCCCAAAAGGCATTGATTATAATGGTTCCTACTTTGATGACTAAAGATGTGTTTGAGCCTAGTTGCAGTGACGGAGTCCACAGCCTGGACATGCACTTCCTTTTGCACCCACCCAGTTTGTTCCTGTAGCCTGGCAGTGGCACAGGGCCAGTCCCCATTCAGTCCCGTTCTTGCCTTTTGCTCTGATCAGAAATGATCCCTGACTCATTGCCGCTGAGCTTCCGCCAGGTTCAGATGAGGTCAGTTTGTGAGTGAAAGTCATTTTAACCTCGAGTTTCTTCTCAAAGCTATTTTTGCAGTCTGAGCTTGTTTTTCTTGACTTCTGGCTCTAGAAAATTCCTGTGCCACTTTTCTTCCAGGGGCCCAGAGAATTCTAAGCGCCTGTGTGGGGGAAGGTAGCAGTCTAACTGGAAGTATAGCTCAGGCTTCCTATGATTGACTGTGAGTGTGTTTGTAATCTGAGTGCTTGGGAGGGCCTGAAGAAGGGCTAGTGGGAGAGCCTGGCAGAAGCCAAGGCAGTTGGTAGTGGCTGAGGATTAGGTAAAGGGATAGAGATGGAAAGTTCAAGTCACAATTTCATATGAGCCCCAAGCTGGGAGTAAGGCCCCAAGTCTAGTACCAGAGAACTGATCTAGCTGGTGCAAGCTCTGGGGGTCAGTGCCCAGCACTGTGTCCCCCTCAAGAGTTATTAGCATCAATATTTATTTAGACTTTCCCCCCTCAACCAATAGTTTTTATAGGCCTTCAGTATCCTAGGCACTGCTCTGGGCCTTTAGTGATAGGGTTTTGTTTCTTTTTAAAAGTTTTAAGATTTACTTAATGTGGATGAATGTTTTTGCCAGAATATATATGAGTTTCATCATTGTGTGTATGTCCAGTCTCTGTAGACACCAGAAGAGCATCAGATCTCTTGGGACTGTGAGTCATCATGTGGTTGCTGAGAATCGAGCCCAGAGCCTCTGGAAGAGCAGCCAGTGTTCTTAACAGTTGAGCCATCTTTCCAGGCCAGGGTTTTATTTCTAAGACTCTTAATAAATACCAGCAAACTCTTAATGGAGACTATCTATTTGTGAAATAATATATAGTAGAGACCTCTTATTGTTCTGTGGAGAGAGAATCATAACCATATAGTTATGTTGTCAAGCATACACGGGGATAGTTTCTGCATCATTAGGACAGGCTAACCAGGGGACTGGTGATACAGCTTTGTTGGTAGAGTGCTTATCTAGCATGCACAAAGTCCTGGATTGGATTCCTAGCACCAGGTATAGTGGTGCATGCCTGTAATCCTAGCATGCCAGAGATGGAGGCTGGAGGCTCAGAAGTTTAAGGCCATACTGGGCTACATACTGAGCTCAATGCTAGTTCAAGCTAAATGAGACCCAAGTTTTAAAAAAACACAAACAAAAACCTAGAGTACCTAGTCCACAGACTCATTGCCAAGATTAAATGAAATAACATATGGGATATGCCTGGCGAAGGGTGCAGTTAGTTCAGTCAATGTCAGCAGCTGTTACTGTGATTGTCTCTGTCTTCACAACCTTGGCTCATTTCCTCCCCTGAAGACCAGGTTCTGGAATACAGCTGGGAGAGCCCTGTGCACTACAAAGAGGCAGAGGCTACAGAGGATGGGGAGAGGTGTCTGGGGTGAGAGGTTGTTGAAGCAGGGGTGTGAAGGTGTTGACTTTGGATGCTGATGGAGGAAGGTATAGCGTGCTTTACCTCTTCTGACCCTGGACCGAACAGCACTGAAGCCGGTGCTTGTGAGCAGGGAAGAACCAAGGTTAGGCTCATTTTGTAAATTTGACATTTGGGGAAGGATGGTCTGTGAGACAAAGATAGCAGCATGGTTGAAGAATGGGCTTGGCAAGTGATGAGAACTTACTGGACAGACTCCTGGCCCTACCTCACTAGCCACATGTTGAATGGGAACCATTTACTCCAGTATCCTGAGTGTAGAGATAATAGTGACCATAGAGATTGTTTAATCAAATGAAATATTACTCCCAAATACCTACACACAGCTGGTTCTGTCACAGTATTATATCTAAAAGCTAAAATATTTTGTTGTTTTGAGGCAGGGTATCCAGTAGCCCAGGCTAGCCTTAAGCTTACAGTCCTCGTGTCCCTGCCTCCTGAAGGATTCCAGGCAGGCACCACCATTCTGTGCTATATTAGTTTGAGTGCAATTAATCCATAAGCCCCCCTCTCCCCTCGCTACCAAAGCTGAATAGAAAAAAAGATAAAGCCTTTTCAGGTAAATGTCGGCTAGAAATTTCAGAATGGTAAAGAGAAGTTTGGCCTAAGTGTATTTTACCCATAAACTATTTACATGGCCAAGTGTGTCCAGTAGAGACCATTAAAGCTGATTAATGATAACAGCTTCACCAAGTGAAAACATATGATACCCTGGGGGAAGATGACCCAGAACTCTGCAGAGCGCAGGTGCTCATGCCACCATCATCTGATCCACGCCAGGTGAGTGCTCCCCAAATCCTGGATTCAGCCCAGATGGGGAGCACTTTGCCTGTGGTCACCGTACCTTAAGTTCAGGGAAGCATGAAACTAGGAAGAGGAAAAGGAGGATTTAAGTCAAGTTCTTGGGATGCAGGTCACATTTCTGTAGCCCAGAGCTGTGAGCCATGGAGCGGGTTGCATTGCATTCCTTATCTCTGAGGTGAGGTAGTAACTGAGTTTGTTATTTATGTTGGGACATGGTCTTATGTATCCCAGGCTGGCCTCCTACTGGATGCGTAGTTCAGGGAGTCTTGAATCCCTGGTTCTCTTTTGCCTCTACCTCCCAAGTGCTAGCTCTACCACCATGTCCCGCACAGATTTCAATTAAGTGAGATCCAGTATCTATGTCACAGGGTTATTGTAGAATATTCAGGACACCTAGTAACTTGACCTTCCGGGGAGCCTTCACAAATAGTTTCAATTTTAAAATGTTTAGATTACATTATTTAAATCAGGGTTATTTACTACTGTAGCTAATTTTATTTTAAAAATTTGAAAGATCTTTGTTTTAATTATACCTCGAAGTGTGTGAATATGTGCATGTTAGTCTGCAGAGACAGAAGGAAGTGTCAGATTTTCTGTGATCTGCCTGATGTAGGTGTCAGGAATTGAACCCTGGTCCTCTGGAAGAGCAGCCAGAACTCTTAACCACTGAGCTATCTCTCCAGTCCCCACGACTGTAGCTAATTAAAAGAAATTATTGTGTGTATGTACCCACACAGCATGCTGCATAGAATGGAGGTCAGACAATAGTCTGAGGGAGCTGGCTCTTCCCTACCATGTGGGTTCTGGAATCAAACTCAGCCTGAGACTTCAGTGGTGAGCACCTTTACTTGCGTGCGTGCATTCTTGTGCATGTGTGTGTGTGTGTGTGTGTGTGTGTGTGTGTGTGTAAGAAGTGAGGGAGAAATGGACACTTTAGAAAATTTTAAAGAAACATATTTATTGTATGTTTGTCTGAGTGTGTGTATAAGTTCCGTGTGTTAGCATGAACCTGCAGAGGTCAGAAGAAGATGACCGATCTCCTGTAGCTGGAGTTCCTATGTAGGTGCTGGGAACCAAACCTAGATGAAGAAACTGTTAGGGTGTAGCTGAGATGGAGGCAGGGAGGAATGAGTCCTGGGAGACTACTGTCCATGTGCCCTTTATCTGCTGGTTAGTGCTCCATTTTTCAAATGTGCTTTTCAAAAAAAAAAAAAAAAAAGAAAGAAAGAAAGTAAAGTCCAGCGTCAGACCGCATCACTTAGAGAGTATGTATGCACCTACCTACCCGCCAGCCTCCATCCAGCTCAGCCCCTCTGATGGAGTCCAGGGTTGATTTTTGCCTATAAAAGTAGAAAATGGACCTGATAAAAATGTTTAGTCTGCTAGGCCCCCTTTTATTTATCATATCAGAAAAGAACAATGTTTTGTTGGGCTGTGGTCAAAACAGACGGCGACCTTGCTTGTTCAGAAAAGCTCAAATCTAGAGATAAGGGGCAGAGTAATAGAGCACAATGGAGAGAGTAGAGTGTAATTATTTGTAGCTTGTCAAGTGAAGCCCTTTCAAGCCCCCTGTGATTCGAATCTGGGAACTCTGCACAGTTCCGTAAACTAACCACAGGCAGCATCAGAGAAATCTCCCTGGCCCGCAGACAGCACCGAAATTGCATCAGTTTGTCATGCACGGGGCATGCCAGCTTCACACAATATCATTTGGTTGCAAATGGGGCTGGCCCCAAAGCTCGGGAACACACTCTGTGGTATCTGACGCCTGGCCTGCGATTTGTCATGTCCCTGCTGCTATCACTGTGCAGTAATTTTAATAGGTTCTGATGGTTTCCTTGTAGAAACACAGGATGCATCTGGTTTGGACATAGGGTGTGGCAGGGTCCCTGGTGTGGCCAAAGATAACAAGAGTGTGCACAGGAAACTTGGAAATTCATTTGACCTCATTAAAATTTAGTTGTAGACCATAGAGTGCTAATTTCTGATTTAAAATTCATTGAGCAGTTTAATATTTATATAACACTGGGTTTTTCCTTTTCTTTAGTTGACTAAAATGCATTACTGACTGACGGTAACCTGGACTTTCAGAAGTCACAGCTGTAAGAATGATGTCAGTATAAGGTGATGGCTAGCTTGGTCCTCTACTATTCATAAGTATATAGGCCATGGTTCTCAGTGGTATTGGTGTTAGAACATTGAAAATTGGGCTGCTAGGCTCCACCCAGACCTGCATAACTCTGTCTGTTCCTCATTCTCATCAGCTCCTGGGGGATTGATCTGTATCTGCAAGTTCGAGAAGCTCTTTAGGGAATGCTTTGGGCCATTTGATCAGTTACGCAAAGCTTCAAATCTCTCTTCTGCCAAGTGAGGGTTGTAATACTTGTCATTGCATGGTATTTTAAAGATTAAATAGTGTCTGCCTCTGTCTACCTGTATGGTAGCTGAGAGACAGAATTCATGCCATAAGTAAAAGATATAGTGTTAACTCCATTAACTTCTCTTCAGAGCATTAGAAACCACCTAATTACGAAATGATTCGCTGGTGATCTATTTCCATGGCACAAGGCTTGTGAGATTAACTTTTACTGATCATGGCTGGCTCTAGTGTCAGGATGGCAGTATTGCCACTTTACTGCTTACTTACCTTCTTAATTTTGCCCTACAGCATCTTTGTGTCATGACTTAGAGTTACAGCTAAACCAAGGGAAGTACTGACTGCCTGGAGAGAAGTCCCTGATTGTTGAAGGTTAGTACCATCTTGGGGCATCTAGGTTCTCTTCCAGAGCTCCTGGCTCTATGGCCTTGGCCCATCTTGAATAGCTAGAACTCCTGCCTTCTTTATTATGTCCTTGTTCTGGACCCAATATGGGTACTTGGGGCTCTCTTCATCCCCCAAATCTGATTGTCACAAGTAGAAATACAAGCAAGACCTAAGGGGAAAAAATACAGAAGTAAAAAATAGATACCAAGGGATGTGGTTGGATAGGAGTAATAATAGCTCCCTGTGTTTACAGCACAATAGAGTAACTGTGGTTGACAGCATAGTGAGTATTTCAAAGTAACTAAGAGGGCATTTTGAATGTCCCAAGAGAAACAAATGGTAAATGCCAGAGCCAAGATTACCCCGAACAGATGGTATTCATTGTGTGCACCTCGGAAATGTCAACAGAGTCCCCCAAGCATGTACACAATTGTTATGTGTCAATTAAATTGCAAAGATACTTTTTATAAAGTTCTGAGCCATTTAGAGCAGGGTGGTGGTCAGCAGAAGCCAGGGCACATTAGCAGAAGGTAGCAAGAGGTGGGCAGATCACTGGTACCGAGTTACCATGAGATGCATGAAGGGTGGCTGTAGAAAACAGTAGCCTACTGTACATTCTCAGAGCTAGAAGGACAAATCAAAAATTTTCACCCGAAAGAATTGATAAGCGAGGAGGTGATACCTTGAGTTTGTCTGTCATGTTCATTTGGCTGCTCTCATATTGTAGCATAGCTTTATTTGTAAGTCAGAGTTAATAGTCATCTTTTGTCAGATGTTTAAGTGGATTGTGTCATCATCTTTATAATCTGATTTAATCATTATCGTTATCTATAATCTTATTTTCTCTCTAATAGTTTTTACATTTCATTCTTTATCTTTCTTCCTGTGCATTTTCAACTGTTATCCTAGAGACGTTTCTTTCCAGCCAGAAGGCTTGTATTGAATTCTGGGAAATTATTGCATTCTGGATTGCCTGTGATATGTGCGTAGAGGTCCCTTGACCTGCCCCTCCCTTCCTCTCATCACTCCTGCTTCCCTCTCATCCCTCCCGGGCTCTCGCTCACTGTCCGGCTTGTGCAATGGCACTACCATATCAGCAGTCTTCTCTTCACTCTTCCTAATCGTTGTTCACTGAACTGCTGAGTCCTTCATTGCTCAGCTTAGGCTGTTCTGTGAAGGATTTGTCGCTGACTCCTTTTCACCGTTGTTTTCGTACCTGGACTCACTTGAGTTTATAACATTTTATATTAGTGGGTACTGTTTCTTTCTTTCCTTCTTGACTGCTTTCTGCAAAGTAAGCATTAACTTTTACTGGTTGCTTTTGTATTTTTTTTGGTTATTTATAAACCATCCTCATGTATTGTAGAGTTTTTTTTCTGCAGACTCAACTAGTGAGTCTGTCCTCCCTCCATCCCTCGTATGATTTTTCCCTAGTGATTTGGTGGGCTGTCATACTTTCTGTCCTGTACCACCCCCTGGTCTCTCATTTAGTCAGGCACCTGTCACTTACAGAGAGG